CTGGCCGGTCCGAGTCAAATGAAGCAGCGGGTACCGCGAACTATTATCAAGATGTATTTTTTTTTTCGAAGTGTATATGTTATGGCTCAAAAACAGTTTTTGCTAAACCATAGAAATAACTATGTGTACATTAAATATACAATACCTATGCAGTACCTATATGTACAGTTACCGTTTGGGGGTTGAAACATTATGCAATTATTTTGCATCCATATGCAAATGCATTTGCTTGAGTGTCTGAGTGCTGAGATACAGGCCGTGAATGATCAGTTAGAATAACTATTTGATCGCACATCTTGGGGGAGGGGAGCATACTTGACGCCTCGCCATCTAATACTGGAGGATGGACCTATCCCCCCACATGGAGAGGCTAAGGACTCCCTGTTATGAACGGCGTAGTGTGACGTGGTGTCTAACGGCTGGGATAAAAAAGGCGTGCTCCCCTCACCCAGTTTCGGCTTGCGCTGATTTTCAATTTCATTTTTTTGTCAACTTGTTTAACTTACGACCACAGGGAGTACGGAAAAAATCAAAAGTTAACTAAGGTAGAGAGAAGCGCTCTTGAGAATGAAGTTTTCGATATCAAAATAGCACATTCAAACGGTTTTATAAACCCCCGTCCCATTTGCTCTGCGCCCTGAACCACCCCTACACATTCATAATTACGCCATTGCCTGAATAACGACTACCAGCTTAAACCTTCAATCACGAGTATTTTACAGAGGAAACAGTGAGTCTGTCAACTGCGATACGTCTTTCCCCCAAACCTTGATTTATGTTCAAAGGCAAAACGCATTAGGATGGTTATTCAGTTACTAAATTTAATCATGCGGGACAAATAGTGTTGACAAGCCCTCAAGCAGAAGGGACATCTCGGAGTACTCATACTGTGGGTGCCGCTTTCTCAAGTGTTTATCTCTGACAATTGAAAGAAATTCCCTAGTTTATCATCCGTGTCATGTACGAAGAAGTGTCCCCTTCCCCCGTCCTGAGGTATTACAGTCAGTTGCTCTCAAATTACACTATAAAAACGATGTTTCATCGTTAACTTTTGGCAGTGGTGCAGGAACTGAGATTGGGGTAGCGCAATCATATCAACCCGGCTTGCGAAAATGAAGCCGACCAACAATTGGGAAAAGAATTCTCAATAGTTTTGATGGTGAAAATTTGAAAAAAACAAATATAATATCTGTACTTTTGGCCACAACATTATGGGGAGCTAGCACAACTTAATGGTGTGTGACAAATTACCTTGGTCGTTTTGTTGACATTCTGACGTCGTTAATCGAGCTTATTGACTAGTTCTAGTCTGTGGCAGACTGTGCGAGCACACAATAGAAAAAACCATAAGGAAACGTCGAAGACCTTCACCCTTTTCGGTGTGCTATGTTGCTATCTACGCAGCCTCCAACGATGGATAATAAAGTCAGAAATTAAATTTTATTTCGTTCTTTCTAATGCAGCGTTTATATGTATACATATATTATTCATTTTTGTTTAGTTTTGTGTCGGAACGTGACTGTATTAGTATAGAAAACCTTTAATTTTATCAAATCTTTTCTAGGAATTATTCGTTTGACGTTTTTGACTGGTAACTTGAATGCACCAGGGCCATTATACCAAACGTCACACAAAGACAATGTAATCATCTCTTAATTGGCAACATTTGTAACAACTGGAAAACAAATCTGGTCAGACTTTTAGAGACATCCTAATGGGGTTTGATTACTGCAATATTGCTTCTTTCAAGTTAGCATCAAGTTGGTACACTGAGACGCAAATCTAACTTGGTTTTTAAACTTTGCCAATACATTGTGGACTTACGCAGACGATTGCGTATCATGCCAAACGTACTCCATTGATTTTGCTCAACAAGTTTATATTTAAATTTGTCATTGTAAAGCAAGAAGTAGGAACATCACAAGAATTAAATAAGGAAGTTGTATCATTGTCTTCTGTCATTATCGTGAATCTGCACACATTAGAAATGACAGAACAATATTACAAATATATAGGCGTTAAATTAAAATCATCCGACATCATGTTTTGAACTTGTCCATATGGTAATCAGGTACAGCACCCCATTGCTATTGTTGTAATAATATCACGTTTGCCTAATATGGATATTTCCTAAGGCGTAATCACGGTGAGAGGCAGACAGGAATGAAGATAATAAGATATAGTTTTATTTATATTCGTCATTAGCATTTCAACTTTTTGAAAAATGACAGTAATATGATTCAAGACAATCAATCAGTACAGCTATTGGTCATATTATACATTTTGTGGTTGCACTATCTAGGAAATATTCCTTCTCTGAGGCCCCGAAAATCTGAAAACAACCGTGACCTTAAGACAAATCTACGAATCATCTGCTATCAAAGGGATTGCTCACGTGGTGTCACTCAAACGATTGGTATCACTATACAAGTAACAGCTGATTATTCAAACATGCATGATTAACCCTAGTAAATTGTTTTGGACATCACTCAATATTTTCTTTGTGACCGTTGACTAGAGTGCTGCACGGGGGACACACTAACTGCAATATTCACATGATTAATTTTCATTTCAATGTACACAAAACTGAGGGGTATCTGCATGCGTGCTGGATGGACGATGGCGCTGGCATCAAACGATCAAACTGTAGACTAATTCGATTAAACGCCATAACTATGGTGCTGCACTCATGCGCACATTCTTCAGCTTAAGGTGTGCTTGCACTAGCAAACCAAGAGACTCTAGAGTCACGTACAACACGCGTACCACCTGTCACGAGCATTGAATGACTTTTAGTAGCTTCTAGTTCTTGCTGTCGAATTACACTGTAGAATGTCCACGGTCCTGGACAGGTGATACATACGCCGGTTGCCTGTCTCATCAATCTGTGACATGTCAAATGTCACACGTGCGAGGGTGTGATGCAGCCCAGTAGTAAAGGCCCTCTCCCAGATCGTCCCGTTTGTCACTGCTGGGGCTAGTTCCATTGACTATCGCACACTTTTGGCCCATCTCACAGCCAAGGAGGGTGGGATGGATAATAGGCCTGTGTCACGCTCGAACGTTTGTTTCATACTAAGACAATCCTTTATCATTACCGATATGAATTACGGACTAAATCAGACATGGCTTTCCTGTTGCGGTCATTAGAGGCTCAGGGCTACACGCGTGAATGGGGCATCGCAGGGAAAAGGATGCATTTCGGGCTAACCTGTTTCGGCCACACTTTTCTGGGCAAGAAAAGCATATTGGATTTTCACAAAATTGTTGTCAAAATTACCACAGATAGATACTCTAAAAAATTTGTCAAAGCTCAGCTTTCTCAGAAAAGAGAGAAATCGGAGAAACGAGGGAGGGGGCTGATTTCGCCCAACTCTTTTACAGTTAGCGTACTAGCCCGTGACGTTCAGTTCAATGTGGCAGCTGCTACTTCAGTTGGTGTTTTTAATGCATTGTAAGATAATTAGAAGTATCGTTAAAAAGACAAGTATTGTCATTTATGACGATTTATTGTCAGATATTGTGGAATTAATAGTGTCCAGGGATTTGGTCTTCATTTCCGTTGCAAACCGTGTCTTCTCACTAAGAGCTCTTTGGTTGTGACGCCGAGTTGCTATGGTGGTGTAGAAGGTGTACATATAAGGGTTGAGCGACGAGTTGATGGGTAGGATGAAGACCACAATCCAGGCGTACATATCCGGGCTGATATCCACCGCCCCAGTCTGGGACAGGATTCCCATAATGATCACCGGCATCCAGCAGGCAAAGTCTGTTCCGACTATCAGCGCCATCTTGACGGCCAGTTTTATCTCCTGGTCGCGGTGGGTCGTTCGCCGCACTCTGGAGACCGTGCGTTTGACCTTGACAAAGATGGCTACGTAGCAGCACAAGACGACCAGGAAACACAGCAGATTAACCCCTAGAAACAGGATGATTGAGTAGATCCAAGCTGGTTGCTTCCCCTTGCCCACTGGGACCTTGATTGTGTCGGTCCCCACCGGGTTGTCGATATCGCTCTCCTCAAAGTCGTAGCTTGTTGGCTTTGTCAGCAGAGGCAGGCCAATACAAACATCGGAAAGGCCGTAGACTTTGGAGTCGGACTCGACAAAGACAGTGGGCCCGATGCTGAGACCCACGCTGGCAAGCCACAGGACGCAGACGGTGACAGTGGCCGATTTCTCCCGGATTCGGATCCGACTGAAAGGGAACACAATGGAGAAGAAGCTGTCCAGGCTGATCAGGGTGACAAAAAACACTGAGGCCTCACTGGATAGAACCGAGATCACCCCAGCTATCTTGCAGATCGGGCTCGACCGCCACTCGTGGGCCACACGAGAGTATTTCTCACCAAAGTGAACGTCGGCCACAGCTATCATCAACATGTAAACGCCCATCATAAGGTCTGACACCGCCAGGTTGAGCACGAAGAAAGAGTGCGTCTTTTTCCCGCCAATTTCTTTACCCTGGTAACACCTCCAAACGATGACCACCGCGTTGCCGATGAGAGCACTTAGACCCAGAATCCACATAGCGACACGTAGGAGGTTGTTACGCATCAGGCTGCCGCAGAGATTTAAGGGAGGTTGTAGCTCAGTGGTGAAACAGTTGGCCACGTCAAAGTCAACCGACGACACAAACTCACAACACAAACGATAATCGTCAACGAACCTAACCGGAAGATAAATATAAGTCATTTCACAATTGACTTCAGTCTTTTCACGAACACAGTATTATTAGTTTCAAGACAACCTTTCCCATTTTCAGGCGGAAGAGCCGAAATTATAACTAGAACAATTGTATCCGACTTTACATAAATTCGACGAATCTGCCACACAAACTTAACCATTGCTGCAATCTAGCCTTAACAACTCCAGACTAATACACTACTGTTGTGCCCATGTCAGTTCACATATATTCACATTAAACCCCATTACCACTGAGTGAACATCTTCATTGGAAAAGTCGTCCTTTTACCTTTGATATAGAGACTAAATCTTACGGGGAGTACAATTGAACTGGCTTTGCCTACAATATAGACTGGTGAATATAATTTGTTCTTTTTATGTAGATGTCATCAACTGTATATTTTGAACTATTACACGTAGTTTCAAATTGACTCACAATTTGTTCAAGCGCACCAAGTCTGTCAGAGCGTCATCTTTGATGTCAACAGTTGACTGGTTGGAAGAGCTCCCTCTTATCAGAACCCTGGATTATGCAATACAGTAGTTATTAGAGCCTCTTCAAGCAAAGTGATCTCTTCCATTTAAACCTGTGGGCATGTGGTTGTGACTCTCGATCATTCAGACTGGAGGTTTGACTCCCGCAGCTGGTAAAACGCTATAACCTTGAGCGAATTACCTATCCATCCCTACTTGTCTCTGTTCAATGAGGAGCACAAAAAGGGCACCAGTGAAGGCAGAAACTGGGTGTGGGCTGATGTCTGGCACTGTAATTGGTCTCGAAGCCTAATGGCCAGGGGTAACAGCCGTAGTACAGTATTTATTCTTATTGCATATCGTCGGGTGCCCGGCAGCAGGGCGCCCTTTCGCTGCGAAGCATGATCACAGCAGAACAAATGTTTCCGGCAAAAAGGGCGTAAGAAACACATTCTCTTTAGTTAGTAAAAACGGATATAATTTACTTAGAAATCAACCTGGGCTGTACAAAAAGCAACCTTTGAACAACTTATTAAAGGACTTGGGCATTTTTTAAAATTACAATTTTTGCCTAGAAATCTTCATATCTCATTAAAATACAGTAGTTGCATACTTCCGTGCTTTTGCCGGGAAAAGTTTGGTTTTTTTTGCAGTGATCATGCTTCTCAGCAAAAGGGCCAAAGCGCTTTTGCCCTTCTGCCAAGCACACGACGATATATTATTATTCCTTTGCAAACGCAACTGAAACTTCGTACAAGAAGATAAAAAATAGTACTCTTAGTATCTATATCGCCACAACTCTATTCTAGTCCAATATAGATCTTTGTTAGAGTAATTAAAGTAAAGCAGCTGTTTTGCGGTACACCTGTGGAATATAAACCGATATGTGTAAGAGCTGTGCGGTGCAATGTTTTATGCAGTCCTTACAGTTTACTTTGTATCCATTTAACTTGGTTTTCAAATTTCGTTTGGCATTTCATGAGCATTCTGTTTTGTGCCATACTTAATAATGCAAATGGAGTTGCATGTTCATGACCAAATATGTTATTTCAATTCAGGAGGAAACCTTAGCATTACTGCTATTTGTTGACACAATTTGCATAACGTTGGATGCTTTGTCTAATAATTAACGTGAATGACAGAAAGCTTTTTGATGTCAAGTTACTGAAACATTTTTCAGTTATAGGTTGAGTAGGTCTTAATGACATGAGAAAAGAATGATTTTGGGGAAAGTTTATTTCTTATTTGGAGGATGTTATATTTATTACCCATGAAAATATGAATTTTCACAAGGAATTACAGTATAACTTCAAAATATTTCTCAACATTCATTTATTTGTAAATAAAGGAGTACATGGATCGAAATAATGACTTACATAACTTCCAGCATTTTCAGTCCATCAAACGCATTTTCCTCAATCGTTTCAAGGGGAATATCCGCTGCGATCCTGAGATGGAAAAAAGGTGGGTGACAATAGAACGAATTTCACTTTGATTACAAATTAATGACTTACTGACGAGCGATTTTTTGAGCATTAAGCGAAACTTATACATTACGCACTTTTTTACATATACATTCAAGGCAGAAAGACGCTGGTCATGCCAGTATTTCCACAAAGAAATAAATGAAAGCACGACCAGGATGTGGTTAAAGAGGAAGCCATTCCGTGTTGTCGTAAAACGGTATATTTAAACAGTCTCAAGGCTTATAAATAAAGGCGTTTTTGTGAGTTGATATTTGTATCGTGCGGCATTTCACTGCGATTGCAATACACTTCCAGCTTCCAAAAATTCATTACAATCTGATGAAAAGGGAATACAAGATATTTTTTAACTTACATAACCTCCAAGCTCTGCAGTTCCGAGAAGGAATTGCCATTAATGCGCCTGATGCTGTTGTTGGAAATATCTCTTCAGACAAATGACAAATGCACCAACATAGTCTTTACTTAAGGTCTTACTAAAGAAATTCGAAGTTTCATGAAAGTTCTGATATCCAGTAACAACCTAAAGAAAGGGTTTTCTAACCCTTAACTCTTTCTTTCATAGCAATATGGTTCCATAATTGTTGGTCGAGAGAGAGCCTAATGCAAATCGAACTTGTTACAATGTTCTTTTTGTTGATTGTATCAGTACATAATAATCAGCTAATGATAAAACCCCCTCAGAAACATTTTCAATGAGCAAACCTTGGCCTCACAAAGTTTAATAGAAACCCTTTGAAATGAACAATCTCTACCCTACAACAAAAAGTGCCCTCAGCTGTCCATAAGGGCATGGACGTTCTCAAGGGATTAAAATCTGCACCTTTCAATGCACTTAACCCTGAAGAGATGTAACATAGGTTTCATACAAAAAAGTGGAATATAAACTAAATTCTACTTCAAGAACTGAACTGAGACCTGGTCGATTATTTTACAGTGTGGCCAAGCTCCTCATAGCACGTGTAAATCATGAACAACAAAATGTCCGCTGTGTGGAACAATTACAGGGCGAAACAAGCACTAAGAGAGAACTTACAGGAAAGTGAGGTTCGTCAGACCGTAAAATGTTCCGGGTGTGAGCGCATAAATGTTGTTGTCCTTCAGTAGCCTGCAGAACAATAACTGAACTTGTTTACGAGAAGCTGTATGGTTGGAATTGGGTCATTGTCAGGAGTTTGCTTAGAGGTGTATTTTTCATTTTGGCAAGACTTTCAATCCATCTGGGATCGCGCAATGTGATTTGGTCTGAGTAGTCACTTCCAGTGCCCTCTTTTGGGCAATGGATTTGATGTTGCCAAACGTTTTCCACTTTTAAAAAATCCAACATTCATTTTTACTTAAATATTTCTAGGGAGTCATCAATTGTTATAGTAATCACACACTCAACAGAGAGGATCAGTGGGCTGCGTACGCTCTTGAAAGAGTGAAAGCGTTTGCGATACATCAAAATCTTTCATCGCCTATTTGCAAACTGATGGGGGGCATGGGTCAATCGAAGGAAATCTTTCAAAAGATGACAAAAATGGATGACCCCCTGCACGGTGGCGTTTTAAATGTCGATGAAAATTCAACTTTAAGCATTCATTCACTTATTGCAGAATAATATACTGTTTGTCATCTGTTGCGCTTAGTTATGTACAAAACGCTGCCCTGAATCCCTTTTGCGGGCACAACACAATATTATCTTTAAAGGCTAAAGCAATTTGATTTCCACGTTACTCTGTGATTGGCAACCTGACGAACTGAGATTATGTTAAACAACTGTTCAAAGACGACAGTGCAAAGCTTATTCAAACGACTACTTACAATGATTTCAGGTATTTGAATTCTTTAAAAAGTCCCTTCGCTAAGTAAGTGGCGTTTCCCTCTGAAAGTTCTCTGTTAAATTAAAAACAAACCCCTCAATCACTTCTAAACATATTGTTAATTAGAAAGCACACCAGTTCATGTTATATTATTCCCAAATCAAAACAATAGTGCTATGCAGCAGTGTACTTGGTCGACCTTGTTATCAACCCTAACCCCCTAGGCTTCTGCATTAGAAAGCGTACTGAACCTCACAAAATCCAACAGATGTATGAACTTGTCTATGTACCTGCACATGCACGTCACTGTACCAAACCTGATAAACTCCTACAAAATGAGCCCGTTGGACTTTGAGTGATATGGTATGGGCGGGTTTATGCAGTAGAGGATGACTTGCACTGAACAGTACCAAACCTGACAAAATCAAGCATCGTCCAACAATTGGTACTGCAAGCCAGACACTGCACACAATGAACCACGTGTTTCCCAACTCACACAGAATTCAACGCCATCTCTCTGGGCCTTTCATCACAAGTCTCACAAAATTCAAGTAGAAGTTCATGAGGTATGGTACCAAACCTGTCAAACCTTACAAAACCTGCTGTTGGGGTATTGCAAGTTCGGGGTAGTTGTGAATCATTCTGATTGCACGGATTTCATCCATGAATTTAACAGGGAAGTGAGTCAAACATCAGTTCATAAAATCTACACTCATTAAGTCGCAGCCTGATGCACAGTTAACAAGAAATACTTTTTAGACAGTTTGAATCCCAAAAAGCCATTAAATCTGAATCACACGCTGCTGTCAACACAAATAAGCAACGGTGTGCTGGAAACATGTGGAACGACGATTTGAGCGAAAACAGATCGGCGTGCGCGCCACCATTTTCAAACTAAACGGTTGCTGACCTACCGCTTGGAATTAAACTCACTTTCAACAGTGCAAAGCCAAATAGACCTGGTCACCTCAGCAAGTAATAACACTTTGTAAATTTACTGCCAAGGTTACGAATTCCATTTGATGTGACTTACAGGTGCTCTGTCCTCTTGGCCAAGTTAGCTAAGGTCAGCTCGTTCCATCCGTGCGTGCACGCGACCTGAACACTGTCATCATCCACCTTACACCTACAACCATTTGGGCACCGCTGAGCTGTTTGTCAACAATAATCAAACGATCACAAACTATAATTTGTTTTGCTGTCACAAACAGCGGTTTGGTCGAGTCCATCACGAAATGCTTTGTAGGCCATTGGGAAGGACACATGCATGACAAACGTTTTGTTGAACGACAACGCTGGTTAATACTGTTGGGTGCACATGACACGTGCGCACGGAATGCACATGGGTGGATTGAGGAAGCCAGTAACCACTTTGCGCGTCCATGGCCATAACGTATTTTCTTCCCAAAAATTTTGGAAAGGCATTTGCTCTTGCCAGCGCCCAGGAAGGGCTGTGGTGAACGAGGGAACACAAGTGCCTGCGCGTCCGTGACATGACCATTCCAAGCCATCCAGTAAATAGTCAGTTCACAAGCTTTCTAAATGAACTTTGACAAAGCAACAATTGCCCATTGTTTCGACTATTACTTGTGATTTGTCCGATATGAGGACTAGAGCTTCGACTTCCAATGGACTGCAACGTTGACTGGGGTTGGTTTTAAATACCTTAATAATACCTTTCCAATTAACAAAATTCTCCTACGTCGTAGGAACATTTTTAATCATTTCCTGGCAAACTGTGGCTAGGCGTGAGTACTAAACCAAAGTAATAATTCACAAAATGTAGCAAATTGTAAAGATATAATCCTTCTAAATACCGTAAATGCAAACACCCCATGTTACCAACGATGAATCAAAATTTGCATTTTGTGGCCAAACAAGTTGCCAACCAAGGCAGAACTATATGCAAAATTTAGCCGCCCATACAAAATGGCAGTGAACGTTCAAAAACAAATAATAAGACTTATTAGAAATATGGGTAGCTGTGTAACGCCAAAATACAGCCTGTAGCCTACCCACCGCATTGACTGTCTGTCTCGTCGTCTTCGTTCGGACAGTCTGGGCTACCGTCGCACACTAACGGCCAGTGGATACACTCAGGAGAGTCCAGGCAGTGGTAGAACTCTGGACACGTAATGTCCTCTTTGGTAAAATGCAATATGAGAGCCGCTTGATGTCTTCAAACTTCATTTAAATCATATCAAATTCCTCTTTGCAAAATCTTACCTTACAAATCGTATTTTTCGGAGGAAAGTTTGCGCCCGTATTTGTGTCGGTTTGTTTTCCCTACAAAATGTTGATTATTTTTAGAAGTGTTTTGTCAAAGCCTACCCTACCAGATCGTATATGACTATAGATTATACACTTTCCGAAGTAATGTTTGAAAATCAATTTTTATGCCCGTCTAAGCAAAAGTTTCGGAGTGAATTGGACTGAACAGTTTAACCTCACTGACCATGGACCGCTGGCTTTATTGATCCAAGACAGCCCATTAGTTTTGAGTGGCATACATAATCATAACTAGCACCACCCCATGCTCGTTTACATTCTCAAGTTAGATCAAAGAGTACACACGGCAGTCGAGTTCGTCTGATCCATGCGTCTGACAATCTTTAAACCCGTCACATCTGGCGTCAGGTGACACACACGAGCCATCACCGCAGTCAAAGTAAGTGGGCTTCGGGCAGGATGTGCTCTCTGTGGCGTTGTTAGAAACAGAGGCAGAAATAAATGTTGTAGAGGGAACCGACTTTTATCACCGGAATTGTTGAGCTGTATGCATGCGTAACAGTCTGTTTTGCCAACAAGCAGTTGACAAACTACAAGTGGGCGTCAGCACAAAAATATATAGCGAAGAGTGAACTTTCTGCAAACTGCAGATCTCCCTAAACTATTCGAGTCAATGTTTACTAACCAATGATCTGTTTTATTTGTCAAAATGGTGCATTTATATATCATCAGGAGAAGCTCTTGTTGCCAAGCAACAAAAGACCCTCATCTTTCCTGTTAATTGAGAGAGCTGCAACAGAAGAGTCTCAATTGTTGGGGCCAAAATCAACACACAAGACCTGCATACTGTATAGTGGACAGCCCATTTTGGCTCCACGGTATGAAGTTGGCGCTGCTCTTTCTTTAAGCAGCTGTGGGTCTGCGGCGGAGAACATGTAGGTAACGCGGGGTTGTTGCTCTCCATTTGTTTTAGAGTGTGTGTATGGGTGTGCTTGCAGACTTGGGTGTTTTGAGGGAGTTTTGCTAATTTAATCCAAATTCAATAACTTTTTAGACCTCAGAAGTAGGGCTAGAATATGAAGCAATATCCACCTACCGTTTGCTGAAAAGTACTTATATAGTCGCAAGACGAAACCAGATTTTGTGACTGTCGAATCGGTAGTGAAGATAATCTGCACTGACGAATTAAACGCTAATGTCCGTATTTTGGTGTCCCCGTCTACCTCAAATGAAACAACCTTTCCCCCGTGAAGGGTGCTGCCTTCGAACACGAGGACGTCCCTGGAGGCTTCGGTTGCAAACTCCACTATTGACACTAACACGTCTTTAGAACTCACTTCCCACCGACATGCGATGTCTGACGGGTAATGGTCTGGATAACCGGGAGATCTAAGGTCGACACTGGTGCCATAGATGTATATCACTCTATAACCGCATTCATCTCAGAAATAAAGGAAAAACGACTAATAAAATACCTTTTCTTTTGTTGTGTATTTTGTCTTTTAAATATCCTTACCCCGTATGGCTTAGTTCCTTACCCGCCTGTTTCATCTTTCAAAACCATTCCTTTCCCTTTGTTCCCAACCCTCTTGTCCAGTTTCCAGCTGTGTCTGATGTCCCCCTCTACCTATCGCATTAATTTATTCTTTTTTTTCATTTATTTCCTGGTTCTTTGTCTGTGCATTTGTCCTTTTGAAGTTGAGAAAGATTCTCCTGTAGGATTGAAACTTTAGGCCTCCAAACTTTAATACCATTCGACGAAAAAAAGTACTTTATAATCTGGGAATATTTGTGGGATAGGTATTTATTCTGACCAATTAAGTGGCATTGTCAGGAACTTGGTGATTTTATGTACGTACTAGTTATTAAACAGGACACATGCAAATCATTATTGTTGTTTTTGTTTTTTGGTTTGTTATTGTCATTCTAATTTGCATCGTTGTTGTGGACATATTTACCCTTCGAGCAGAATTGGAGACCTTGCTCAGAGCTGTCGTTCCTCACACAAATCAGATTTTCCGCTTTGCAGGGGATTTCACCATCTCTGCAAGAAACTGTTAAGAAAAGTAAAACACATACGATTAACGCCAATATTCTGTCATAACCCAACCCACTGATCGGCCGGCTCATTCTTGGTGCAAAAGCAAAGACATGAAATTGTGAATTGAGCTCAAATATTTGTGCAGCGAATTTGTAAAAGTTGAACATATTTTACTTCGAGCAAAATTTCGTAGCGAATGTTTCGTGAGGTCAAATTCGGTTCGCTTTCACTTTTGCCTGTAGTATGAGGCAGTCTTCCAATCAAATATTGGCGCAGCGATTTTGCAAATGTTTGACACATTTCAACTTAAGCGAAAGTTTCCTGCAAATCTATGGTCAAATTCGCTTAACTCTCACATTCGACCAAAGTATAAACTGGCCTGAATACCTGGTACTTCAAAAATGCCAAAAATGCTGGTTCGCATTGGTAACGTCTTAAGGCCAGTTCGTACCACATATAAACAACGTTTGATGTCATCTGTGTAAGGACCTTTTGATCATTCTGGTGATCACCGGCTTAAATCATTTACTTGAAAAGTACTGTCAAGGTTTAAAGCAAAAGGCATTTTTCATTTACATATGCTGTACCTGTTTCGGCAGGCTTCTGCTCAACCTGAAGCTCAAACCCACTTTTTTGGATGGAACCGTCAGAGGTGAACCTCAGGAACATTTCATTCGATGTAGAAGCAACCAGTAGTGGAAAACGATCCCTGGAAAATATATAATATGAGGAAAATAGGTTCTTTGGGACAATTTAGGGAACATTTGGATTACGCAGTGGTGGTGAAGAAGGAAACAACTCTCTCATCAATTTATAGAACGTTACCAACTAACGCATTTCCCAGAAAGATTTTACAACACCACCCGAACAAAAAATGACCCTTTTATCATAAGAGTTGTCCTGAAACATTTCTATGAAGACCTGCCAAAGCCTGTTACTTGAAGTATCACGAAAATCATACAGGTTTAAACTGAGAAGTAAAGTGCCCAAAAACCCTAAACATTTTCTTACCCTGTTACGGTCAGAAAGGCACTTTTAAAGTCGTCACCGTCACCACAATAGAGAAAGTCGTACGATTCCTCCAGTAAAAACTCCTCAAACGACAGCACAATTCTGTACCCCACTTCTGCCACCAGTATCCAAAGGCACTGCAACAACGGAGGGTAATCACTTTCTGGCCAACCGGGTGAGGTCAGTGTCTCAAACTCACGGCTAGATAAATCATAAAACGACCCACCACAAGGCTCTAGCGACGAATAAAATAATATCAAACTTAGATGGAAGGATATGTTTAATGTAAGACACAAGACTTATCGCAATGTTTATGCTACTTATTAATATTCCACTAATTAAAGAGACCAAGAACAAGTTCGCAATTACTGTGAAAACCTTCCAAAGTGTCTTCAAATTGGAAGTTTTGGAGTAAAGAATTTTTTTTTACGATAGCCATATATTTAGGTATTTTAATCAGTGAGGCCACAGGATAGTTACCATATGATTGGGCGTAAAAAGAAAAAAAAGTGAACGGCTGGTGAAGGAGATGGTGTTTTCACACCCTCGCTACTTACCGCACTCTAGCTCATCTGACAAGTCTGGGCAGTCATTTTTGCCGTCACAGATATAACCAATAGGGACGCACTTGTTAGCGGAACGACAAGCAAACTCACTCGTCGAGCAGTTTCCTAAATAACGTGGAATGCACAATAAATATTTAAAGTAGTTTACTTCCAAGACAACTGCTGTCAGAGCCATTGATAAGTTACTGTCACCAAGCTTGCCGGTGCTTACACGTTGGGGTATTTGAATGACATCTGATTTGTCACCAGATCACGTTGATGGCGACACAAATGTTTGAGACGCATACGTTAATACTTCAGCTTCCTTTTATTGGACATTTGGGGATTTCAAACTATATCTCACAAAAATGGTTGTGTTGCACGAGTCAATTCTCGATAATTTTACCTAAGTTATTTTACTTGGCTTAAACTTAATCCTGTAAAATTCTAGATGGGTCAGATTTGAGTTGATTTACGTTGAAATGTGTAACTCTGACTCACTGTAGGCCCAACCCTTTGAACAAGATCCTGATTTGATAATAAAACTTGGCATTGAACGGAAAATTTCAAATGCATCTGTCTGGGCACAGGAAGCCCTAGGGCCTCTTTTGATTGTTGGTCCACTAATTCCGTTTTATTATCCAGACTTTTGAGAGCACTGGGAACAATGGGTTGTTTTCTTGATTTCATATATTTTCGCACTGAATAAAATGAAGTGACAAACGGAAAGCAATGCCCAGCCGTGCGGCTTAACCTGGACCTTGTCACCGTGTTGCATTATAGAATTCAACTAACCATTGACTAGTCACAAGACTCGTACATTTTGCTCTGTGGTAATTGAGCTCGGTTATCATTTGGCGGTTTGACACTACAAGACAAAATGATGGCTCGGGTGCAGTGTATAAACGAGTTTGAGTCACTTTGCTGATCCAAGCATTGCTTCAACCCCTTCATATCTGAGTCAGCATGTGGATTTTGTTTGTCATTAGACTTGATTTATCTCCGAGATATCATTCAGGCATGACTTGTTTCCTTAGTACCTGGTCCCATCGTCGGCTGCTGTTCATTGTTGGAATCAAGCAAAACAACTTTATCTCAAGCTTAATAGTGAACACTCTAATGCTTCTGAATCAAACGTAGCTCGAGAGTTTAAGTTCAGAAAGGTTACTATTAAAGCAACAGGCGGGTTGAAGCAAGAATCTTGGGTAATGAATGCCGTATCTGTTGCCACCAAGCGTTTGACAAGCCACAGAGGTTACCCCATTGGTGGAACTCATACATCTCTTGGTAATAAACTCACCACAGCCAATCTCGTCCCAGTATCCTGGGCAAGCAGCTGTCCCATCGCAGCGTTCCTCCTCCTGGATGCACCCAAGACCGGACATGCACATTTGTTCACTCGAGGAGCACTCTGCCATAATAATTGTTAAATTGAAAGAACTTTGTCAACTGGAAACAGCTTAAACACCACCAACAAAATCACCTGTACCAAACTTGATTGGCTTGATTGACTAACCAGGCACCTGTACATTGGGCTTCCAAAGAAACCTGTGGCCAACTAAACTGCCCTAAACAAATACACTCTCTACAGCATCGAAGTAAGGAGAGAATTGGTTACTGCAAAAAAAATTTAAATCCTGTCTCTGAACTGTTGATATTGGAAAAGCTCCAATATGACTAGATCAAAGCCTCTGGCGACTTTTACAGCTTCTAGAAGACGAAACACGGGTATCTTATAAGATTTTAGTAATACTCAATTCAACCCTGCCACAAAGGACATATCCTCACGTTACGGCTGTCTTGAATGCACATAAAATAGACATACAATGCTGAATTGACTGCCAATGAATGGCTATTGCTGTAATTAGTACGTGATCTAAGGAAGAAACCGCCTACGCCGGCGCAGCCACTTCCAATACAGTCATGCATTACAATTGGCTGCAGTCAGTTGACAATGGACAGTGCATCACAATGACACTTTGAAGCGAGTTAAACAAACAGCAGAGACTTAATGCTATACTTACCAACATTTTTGTACTGCCGGACATCGATCTGCAGCTTATCTTTGGCCAATCGGAAGTGAGAAAAACCACACTCTGCTTTAATCCACATTATGGAATAATTCGTTGGGATGGATCTTGGATATGAAAAATGCCTGTTCGTCCGCACTTCTCTTACGACCTCATGCCTGACCGGACGCGTGGAATCGTAACCTACACCAACATCCACGTTGCATATTGGGTCCAGCCGTTGAATTTGCGCTTCAATTCGCCAGCCTGACTTGGCAATGAACAGCCACAGGCAGGTAATGATCTGTTCCTCAGCATGTACTGTATAAGTTTCATTTGGAGTAAGGTAGACAGTTTCGTTTCCGCAAAATCCTACAAATGACACCAAGCAAAGACGTAGGAGTGAGTGGCCGTAATGCATGATTATATAAGGGATCCGTTCAAAAATAACTTTTTTTTGAGCGCGTTGACTTTTGCTTTTTTTATATCTACATTTTCCACCATATCGTTTTTTGCAGTGCTTCCTTGTCGAGTAAACTTCTCTTTCAATCTGCTTCAAAGGTAAGGTAGACATGGATGGAAATAAACCATTCCATTTTACAGAAAAAGTCCGAAAATCCGTTAAATCTGATTTGAAACAGCTGAGGAATGTGTGTGGTGTGCTTGACAATTTGAATTTGTTCTGAGGCAGTTGAACATGAATATTTAGCAGGTCGTTTCAAAACAGTTTAATTACAACTGTACTCCCTCGACTGACTACATCCAATGGGAAGCCGCTGTTCATTCTAACATACTAATATTTACACCAGCGGTCTCATTTACATAAAACGGTTACATCCTCATGTGTTTATATGTCTGTGCTAAGGACTGTTAATTTCAGTTTCAAAACACGCCCTCTTTTGTTCCTGCTCGGAGCAGATACTATACAGAACCGAGCAACATAAGCAAAAGCCTGTCCCGATAGTGCATGAAGGAAATGAAGGGCGCCCGATGTCATTCAATAATAAGTAAGTGCGCACGCGAAGTCTGCGCGGCCACTTACGCCAACTCGCACGCGTGCTTTAACCCAACCTCTCCGATACACCAAACTGGCTTGTGTCTTACCACACATCAATTCGTCAGAATGGTCCCCACAGTCTACATTACCATCGCATATGTGGTACCTTGGTAGACAAACGTCCATCGTACTACATCTAAATTCCTGTTGACCACACTCTCCTGTAAATTGAACAGTGGCAAAAATGAGGTGGGAAAGTGGTGTATCCATTGGGGGTAACTTGTCCCCTTGACGGATTTTTTTTGTCACAAACAATACATTAGAGTTGAGTAGGAAATAAAGTAATCAGTTCAGTTACTTATAAAATATTAGCACTGAAACGCTTAAAAAGCAACACCACAATATATAAGCAAAGATCAAAAGATGGAGGAGAATATAAGATTAAATCAGTGCTCTGAAATATATTCCTCAAAATATGGAGGGCCTAACGTTTCAATCCTAGCAGAAAGATTCTTTTAGGATCAAAACGTCAGGCACTCCATATTTGAGATATTTTTAAGTAATTTTTTAAGGTCATTGTAGTCAGCAAGCAGTTTGCAGCAGTTTTGTTTTACATATCTTTGGTATAAGCAAAGATGTTGAACTAGCCTAAGTCTGCATTCGCTTTTAAATTTGCCCCTCTCCCCCGACACCAAAAGCTGAATACGCTTCTGGGGTAGGAAGTACGACTGGCTTATTTGGTGATCAGACATCACTGCTCTCTGTGGTATTTTCACTTAAAAAAAAACATTTGGTATTTCCACTTTGAAACTTTATACATTTCTCCTGAAAAATTATGCCGTTTTTTTAAATGATGCCTAGAAGATCACACTGTTTATTATGGGTGGTGCTGCGGTTTCTGTTCAAATTGTGAACCGGGCATTTTGGTCGTTGAAATTATTTGCAAGAAAGCGTTACTATGTTCAAAGTAGAGGTCCTCAATTACGTTTTTTGAACTTTTTTTGCAGTTTGAGATACCCCAGCTAGACATTCAAAGTTGAGAATAAGCTAAAATTCGCAAGTTTAACGCTCAGTATGCAAGACTTTTCGATCCCCTGCCTCGATTGCAAAAGAATTCTACGGTTCAATATTGCACCAAGAGTGCTCACTTCCAGGAACGCAAGTGCAAAGATATACGCACCACAACCTAGCTCATCACCGTATGCAGCGCACTCCCTGTGTCCATCACAAACGTGGGAGATGTTATCCAGGCAGTCTAGGCCAGATGGACAGGAAAACTGACTCTCTGGACATTCTGCACAAAAGACAATTAAAAGATCAGTGCAACCAGCTTTTATTAGAATCATTTTTGGTGCATGATTAAACTCTTTTTCAAAGTATGAAAACCTTTTGAATTTGTTTCTAGTGAAATGAACTGTAAAGTGTTGTCTCGTGTAAGGTTGGTTAAAGCTCTGTTATATCTAACATCGTTTATCAAAGCCAAGATAACAAACCGGTAGGCTACGAAACTTAACGTCAGTAAAGCAGAGCTTACCAGTGATGTTGTATGTTGTAAACACCATTCTTAGCTTGATATCGTCCCAGTAATAGGACTCCCTCTCCCATGTTATCCACATTCCGGAATCAATGGATAGAACATCGAATGGTAAGCGGATTCCGTAGGCTGACCTGATGACGAGCACCGGTAGAGCAGTGGGATCCGGCCCGTTCCCAATCCTCATGACGGAGCGGGAGTCGGCAAACTCCGCCACTGTGACCCGGATCCGGGTCCCCTCCGGCTCCGTCAGTCGCCAGACGCACTCCAGCCTCGGTACGCCCTCCGTGTAGTTGGTCAAGAGGACGTCAGTAGTGTTTGGAAGGACCTCGGAATCGCCGGGGTATATGGCAAAGTGGCCAGTGATATGCCCAATGTCAGATGTTCTATCAACCTCAAACTCGCCTCTGATTGTTATTGGTTCACCGAAGCGTAAATCAATCTCTGATGTACCGCAACGGTCTACAGAATGCCAATTAAAAGTTAAAAGGTAGCAAAGACTGAAACCCAGAAAATACAAACAACAAAAAGCCAAGCAAGCCTGGCAATGCCAAAGCATTGCAAGCCAGAATAAAAACTACCAAAAAACAAAATTAAAAGCAGCAGCATTACACAAGGCCAGTTTCTGCACCGGCAAATAAAATAAACTGGCAACAGAAACAAGACACAAATCGTAAAACGAAACTCATTCTTGTTTGTTTCATGAAAACCATATACAATACTCACCACAGTCGATGGCTTCATCCATGTAATTTGTGCAATGAACCGTCCCGTCACAGACAGCGCGACGCGGAATACACTTGGAATCTTCTTTGCACAATACCTGGCCCGAGTTGCAGTGAACTGAGTTGGAAAATTTCCATTCAACCACAAGTTTATTGTAAACCAAATAACTCTGAATGAGACTTCGGGTCAATGTTGAATGTAAATTTTGATCACATTTAAAAGGTTTAATCGTGTCTCGTTGTCTTCTGTTGGACTAGAATAATTAATTGTGTTGTAGAGATCAGGTATAAATTCTGATCACTATAGGAACATACTCATGCCATCGAATACATATTTTAGGAGCACTTGTTAAATTGAGATTTGCGTTCCTACACTAAGTTATACAATTACACCTGACTAGTTTTGGGAACAAGGACGGCATCACAATTTTGCTCATCACATTCCTCATTATGATCTTGCCTTTGGTATTTGTACCCCGACAGTTTGAGGTAGTTGTGGATGTCCTATCGAATCATCCCCCATATACACACACGCACATTTTGTGGCGAGCAAGAACTTCAAGTGGATTATGGAGAAGTTTTCAGACTTCCGAAGACTAAAATGGATTCACTATCACTCACTCAAACATGGACAAACAATTTTTAAAATCCACAAACGTGCTACTCTGAATACACATTACAGATATACATAACCTACATCGACCACTTTATAGAATCATATAGTGTCACACCCTAACCTGCGCTTTTCAAAATTTCACGGCGGGGCAAATCATCCCCCACTTTTCCCCATCCCCAACCCTCCCCCAATGTCCAGCACAAATTTACGCCATTGGCTACAGGTACGTCTCAACCTTCAACGGATGTCCGTCCCTCAGTGACGTAACAAAATCACAGTTAATCGGCTCTTCGTGCCTTCAGAGGAAAAACGTGTTTACAGTGCCCCCGAGATATTTGCCCTCGTTCCTGATAGGTCACTCTGGGTCGATCGTTTTCAGTGTACGGTTGGTCGGTTTCTCGGTCTTAAGGTTGCTCATTTAGTCAGTCATTTTTTCTGTCGGTCTGCCGTACGGTTGTCGGCAAAATGCTTACTTTCTCCAGTGTAGTTCTCTGCCCTTAAAAGAAGATTCTGTGTCGGTGGGTTGTTTTCGTCGTTGTACACGGTAGATGTAAACATGATCCATAGGTAGGTCTCGGTAAAGAATAAAGAAGATCCGTGAAAAGTCCAGGCGTTGGAATGATCTATCTTTTGAAGTACAGTTGATTCATTGGCGCTGTTGTGGCCTCGGCCGAAGACAAAGTGTTGCCTATAGTACGTCAAATCTATGTTCAATACATCGACGAAGATGACTGTCTCAGGAGGGCTGGTAACCAGCCACAGACATTGCAGACTCAAGTGGTTACCGGAGATGGAAACACTAAGAAGGTACTGGTCGGTTAGGTTGATGTTTTGGGGACCACACAGCAATTCTGCAGTACAAAGAAATTTGATAAAGTGAATGTTAAGCTTGATGTAACGATGAATGACACAGAGGTTATGTCAGTGCTTCACCACCACAAAAAGCGATTTGCCAGTAAAACCCTAAAAGCAATTTCAAGTCCCTGCAATTCCATAATTGGGCTATCTTAAGTTACCCAAGACACCATTCTCATAAGCTGTGGCACAGCATTCTTTGCGGAGAAACAAATTAGCTGCTCAAATGTAAAAAAAAAGTATTATAGTTGCCAGTCCCTGAAATCGTCGAGTCAACGCCTTAACCACCCTGCCCGAAAAAAACCTGATCTGCTAAATATCTACCTTTCAATGGCCTTTCTAAATTAATGAGACAAACAATACTAAACCTTCCACCTCAAAACACGGCTGAGTAATATGAGGTACATTATTTTAACAGTGATACCAAATTGCAAACCGGGTCATTGCGAAATTCCCAATTGTCCCTGCCTGTAAACACCAAAGCTTTCTCTGTTTTAGTTTCGGGAATCACTTTGAAGCATGAAAAAATTAACAAATGTGAGAGGATTGCACCGCGAAATGGACCAATTGAGGGCGAAATTGTCCTAGCTATGACAGATTCCCTGGACGGGCGCGTCGCCACAAGCAGATTCAACACTACCGACATATCTGGCTCTTTCCAACTAATGAAAGAGTGCTTCTGCTCAAGGCAGACTATCAAACACTAAATTTGTCCACTCCAGTGCAGTTTTGGAATGACGGGACCCACACAAAGATAAAGATTCCACGAGGACGTTCTCATCATTACCGTTTCCGTCTGCCACTGGTTGAATCTCACAAGTCATGGACGCCTGTTGGTTGAATAAATAAGCTTCTATCAGCAGATGCGATGTGGAATAGAGCTCGTCCGGGTGCCAGCTATAGAGATGCACACCTGATAAAGTTGGCTCGTGGCCGAGCCATAGGCTAAGGCTGAAGAAGGGGTCCGTTGGCTGGTACTGACAAGTTGTGCGGATCTGCCAGCCGGCCCGCGTCGTGACGTTCCAGCAGAAAAAGGCGTCCACTGGTGCTCCACCACCGGATGTGATATCGGTACCGTTCCTCGTCAGAGTTGAGACTGACACCGTTTCATTCAGTTCCACGAGAGAGATGTCGGTACACTGATATATATATTCTGAGGAGAGAAAATCATCAGTTTTAGTTTGAGACAGAAGTAAAAAAATGCCTTTGACTCCCCGAGGTAGTAGGAAAACTATAGACCGGTCTTCTATCTTGTGATTTTTTTCTCTCCCTCTCCATGTCATAGCGGGCGGAGGATGGTGACAAGAACTCTACTATACCATTTTCAATCCTTAGGAAACATGGTATGTTTGTAAAATAAAAAATTAGGTATCAGCACAATGGCGTTGGTCCTTTGGGTTTGAAGAATGCGTCATCTTTCGGCAACTCAATGAACTCGAAGGTGGCTGCGCAATCCGACGCTGAATGCGCACAGTCTCGAGCAATGGGGGCACTGGAAGTCAGTCGTTGTCGGCTGGCTGTCTCGCTGGTGGCGTTTTTCCCTCGTTGAGCTGCAGGTCAGAGTCTGTGTGGGCCATCGGTGCGCAGTCTTCGACAAAGAGCACTACTGGAATGAAATCGTAGCGGCACTTGGTTTGGGCGGTGAGGCGACGAAGGCCGAAGAGGGAGCCATCCAGAAGATACCGGATGGAGATTCCCTTCTCCGGGTCTTGGTCGACGCGGAACAGTTTGTGGTCTAAAAAGATGCTGAATAGGACCGACGCAAAGACGCAGTCTTGTTTCACACCGTTGCTGATTGCAAACTCTTCGGTCGCTTGCCGCTGGATGACCTTCTTCGGGCATCAAAGTACTGTCCAGAGAGCTTCTTTGTTGACTGTGTCGAATGCCTTGGTAAAGTCGATGAACACTGAGTTGATGGGCATGTTCTGTTGTGTACAATTCTTGTACTTGTCACACAGCAAATATCATTTCCACCGTGCTTCTGGCATGTCTAAAGCCGCACTGTGGTTCAGGGAGAATTCGCTCAGAGACGATGGCCAGTCTGTTCAGGATGAACCTTACAGAGATTTTCCCAGCGATGGAAAGGAGCAAGATACCCTTGTAGTTGCCGCAGTCCACCCTGCTTCCCCTGTCCTTGTACAAGGAGACTATGAGGGCGTCGCGTAAGTCATCCAACAACTTCTCTTCGTCCTGGACACTCTGCCGAATGTTGTGGAGGCTTCGAAGACGTTGGGGCCTGCTTTTTTTTAGATCTCTGCAGGTATGCTGTCCATCCCTGACGCTCTGCCGGAGCTGGTCTGGTGGATCGCCTTCTTGATCTCAGTCATCGTGGGGAAAAAGTCGAGTTCCTCCACTACGGGCTGCTGTGGAATCTGGTGAAGCACGGTTGGGGGCTACGGTTGACGTGTCTAAGGGTTAAATGGGTTACGATGTGCTGGTGTGGACTGGAGAGGTGAGAAGCTCCTCTCCCACCGAAATACGCCATTACATAGCACAGCGTCTCAACATTATCTCTCCTGAGAAAATCCTACCGTCTAACTTCTTGCGCCAACCCTGTTTTCACTGAACGGCAGAGGGTGTCAGTGTGTCCCTAGCGCTATTACCAGGTGCTCCAGAGAGGTGGAGTTCGTAGGCGTTGGTGCCAGTTCGGCTAGGAGAGGGAGAACTTTGATCTCAACCCAAGTAAACCCGGTTGAGATCAAAGGGTAGATACCTGGGTAGGTAATACTCGTTAGCCTAGGTTGGCAGTCTGCCTAGAAGAGGGACCATTCTGATCACAAACCCGGGCAGTTAAAGTTCGTTAGCCTACGTTGACAGTCTATCCTCGTAGCTGTTTACAGGCGACAGCGGTCACACCCCTGGCAAAGTTAGTTTAAAGGGTATGTCAGCCCTAGCATGTGAAGACTGGTTCCAGGCAAAGCAAGCGGATGAGATCAACAGTGGTGCCAACGGTCATGAAGGCGGTGTCAGCAAGTGCTGTGAAGTGCGTTAGAGCAAGGATGTGACACACAGTAAGTGTGTGCATCCTAGCAGTTTCCAATTGTAACGGTTCCTCGTGCTGTTTGACTAAGACTCACCAGGCCGAGAAAGTAGGACTAACCCCCTTGCAACACTCACGCACGGTCTGTTATGCAACTCACCACAAATCTGTCGTCCTGCGGCGATGGGTGGAGGCGTGGCGGAGGCAATAAATGAACACTGGCAGTTGTTTGTCACAAACTTGCACGTAGGCAGTCTTTGGGAGAGTGGTCGCTCTTCTCCTGAACTTTGAGGTTAACCGGGAGAGCTCAGCAGCACCTAGGGCAACTGGGCAGCCTCTTTAGGACAGCACTGCCCACCCTTGCATGCGGGAGGGGGTTAGAAAAGGTAATCTAAACAAATGCTTTGCCTTTCAAAGTCTGGTCAACTTACCGCAGTTGACAGACTCATCCTACCTGCGGTCAGAACGATAACAAAGAAAGCAAAAAGAAACCGAAACTCATTATGGGAGCCTGGAATGTCAGAACACTCCTCGACCAAGCCAACACCAGCTAACCCAAGAGAAGACCGCGCAAGTGGCTGGGGACTCAAGCGCTACTGTGTCAATATCTCTGCACTCAGCAAACCCACTTTGCCCACGAGAGATCCCTGAAGGAAAAGAGAGGCGGATTCACTTTCTTTTGGAATGGGAAACTGCAAGCTGAAGACAGGACACGGAGTAGGATTCGCCATTAGGTCAAATCTTGTGAAGAACCTTCATGTGCTTTCAATTGGGATCAGCGAACGACTCATGAAGCTCCGTATCCACCTCAGCAAGAACAGGAACCTTACTGTCGTCAGTGTCTACGCGCCCACAGTCTCAAGCCAAGAAAATGCCAAAAAACGGTTCTACCAGATCCTCCAAGAGGCCATCAAGACCATCCCCCAGGCGACAAGCTTTTCATCCTCGGGGATTTCAACGCTTTCAACGAGTGGGCAGGGATTACGGTAGCTAGAAGAGACTCCTTGGGCGACATGGTGTGGGCAATGTCAACGACAACGGCCTGCTCCTCCTCAGCAAGTCTGTAGAACATGGGTTGTGCATCACCAACACCTTATTCAGGATGGTGGACAAATACAAAACCACGTGGAAGCACCCGATATCAACACTTTGTCATCGCACTCCAACTTGACATCTGGAACGTCATCAAGCCTCCTTCAACACAGCCAAGCTGAAGGATGAAGGACGAGTCCTACCTCACCAAGTTCCAACAGACTCTTGACGAGAAATTCCAGGAGGGCCTACCCACTGACAGTGAAAGCATCGGGAAATGGTCGGCCTTCAAGACCATCGTCTGTGAGACGGCGAAATAGGCCCTAGGTGCTCGGCCCGAAAGCAAGGACTCACCAAGACTGGATTGATGAGATCGATGACAATATTCAAAACGCCCTCTCTGCTAAGAACAAAGCCTACACCAAAAGGCAGAATGATCCCACCTCGCTGCCGAAAAGAGCAAAGCTCAAGTCCCTCCAGGCGAAGGTGCAGGATGAGCTGTGAGAGATGGTGGACAAGTGGTGGCAGGCGAAAGCTGAAGAGTCCAGATGTACGCCGACACCCATAATGCCAAGAAAATCTTCAGCTCCCTGAAGGCAGTCTATTGCCCCTGGACCTCAGGATGCTCACCACTGCTATCCTCGGACGGTGCAACCCAGACCAAGAACTAGGCGGGGCTACCAAAACGCTGGAAGGAACACTTCAGCACCCTGCTCAACAGACTATCAGCATCAGCACAATATAAGAAGCATAATTCAACACAATTTATGCTTTGGCTATTAAGGTCACCACTTGAATGATCTTCATGGGCTCGTGTTCATGATTTATGCATTAAGCACTTCAATGGAACAAAAATATGAACACGTTAGGTTGATCTATCTTTGAAAGTCGGATCTTTGCTAAAAAGTACCTCTGATTTTCACAAATTGTTGTCCAAACGACCGCAAGATATTACTGAAAAAAGCTCCTCAGGGATCGGTGGGTACAAGTATCGCGATAAGGGAAGAAAAAATAAGCCCAAGAGCACAATGGAGACTTAGTGGTGTGCAGTTTACCTAATGCAGATCAACGGACTAGTTCAACTAATTGTGTAGTGAATTTCTGAGCATGATTTCAAAAGCATAACAATATATGTATAAGAAGTGAATTTGGTTAACAGAGATTAAACCAAATAAATGTTGTATTATCCGAGGTCTCAGTATCCACATGTACATATGCCCCTTTCAGGAATGGAATGATTAATATTTTTATTTTGGTAAGGCTGTACGCTGAGTAGTCTTCTAATGGAAATTTCAGCTTTTGCCATGACATTTTCGGGATTTGAGTTTACCCTTTGGCTCATATATGATTGTTAATAAACCTGACAAAAATCATTCCCCAAGTCTTCATTGATCTTCACAATAACCATAGTTCATAGTTCTGTTTTAGACCTGATAAGCATAATGTAATGGTTTGGTTGGTAGGAGTCATATTGTTCTCAGTTTAACCATGCTTCATGTCGCATTTGTACGAAATTCACTCTTTAAATTGTTAGCTATATCCATGACCAAATTTGATTTTAACCACACTTCCGCCCGTTAGACAAGTCAGTTGAGAGCTTCAATATTTGTGTTCCGTGTGCTTAAAGCGCACCTGGAATAGTTTGATTTTTCATAATGACAAAAAGACGGAAGACAGCCAAAGCTAAGAGCTTGGAGAGCCAGGATGGAAGAGCTTTAAGTTAAGCTGTGTTTAAATGTACTCAAGTTTTGTTGCAATGTCTGTGAATAAACGACTCCGAAACTAAGGTAGTTTGGAGTGTTTGATTGTTATTGAATTGTTTGTAGTTTGTGTCTGACAGTACCTTGGTAAGTCCTGCAATGCCAAGAGGACTTTTGGTTTAGTGATGCAGGCCTAGTTTTGAGGGGTCTGATGAGCCAGACGCTGTTGTTGACAAACCAAAATACGCAGGCAAATGGATACTGAGAGCTTGG